GAATTTGAAAATGGCCTTCTCCTGCACCCCCTCCGTCTACAACGCAACACCCAATACAGCCTCCGTCTCCAACACAACACCCAGCACTCACCAGGCCCCCTCCCCAAATTGAACTTGAAACTAACCTTCTACTCCACTCCGTCCGTCTACAACATAACATCCAATACTCGCACGTCTCCGTCTCCAACACACGGGCCAACCCACTCCGAAACCTCCGCCTCCACGGCCAGCGCACGCGCCCGAACCGCCCATTTCCTCTTGCCATTTTCCTACAAAGAAGCGGGGGGTTCATGGTGGATCTGGAAACCTATGTATCCATGTGTCGCCAGCATTGACACCAATCAATGTTTTCCAGCAGTCCACGTTGTGCAGAAAACGTGCGATATATGTGGTTCCAGCTGTGTGGTGCAATGTATTCTGTGCAATGTATGCTTTGCAATCTATGTTATGCAATCTATGTGGCGCGCAATATATGCGATGCAATCATCTTGGTGCGACATATGTGGTACAGCTACTGTTGTGCAATCTATGCAGTGCAATCTATGTTGTACAATTTATGTCGTGCAATATATGTGATACAATGTACAATGCAACTTATGTTGTCCAACCCGTGTCGTGCAACGATGTGGTGGAATCCATGCGTTGCAACCTGTGAGGCGTAACATAATCTGTGCAACAGTTATGTTGTGCAATCCATGTAGTGCAATTTATGTGGTGCACAACGTATGCGCCTCAACCTCTTTTTGGCAATATATATATATATATATATATGGTGCAGTCTATGTTGTTCAATCTGTGTGGTGCACTCTATGTATGTTGTGCAGTAAATGCTGTGCAATCTATGTGGTGCAATCTGTTTTCTGTCATCTAAATTATGCAACCTATGTTGTCCCATGGGGCACTCTATGTGGTGCGATCAGCCTTGCCAAATTTGACGTTGTCGACCCCAGTGCTCGCACAATCATCCCACCCGTCCACCCGCAATTTGGTTCGCAAAACCCATGCAGAGGCGATTGCGATGAGTGCTTGGCTTTGGCTGGTGCATCTCTGCTGCCACAATGACCCACGCATGCTCGCGCGCGCAGCGGCCAGCTAGTTTGGCGCGACCGACGCGAACGCGGTGGCGCTGACCGCTCGGCACATCCCAGCGGGCACTTCACCGCGAGTCGGCGGTTTGGGCGGGCGCGGTATGATGGCAACGTCGGCAAATGTAGACACGATGATGATTGTAGCAATGCTGGTGACGATGCTGACAACGACGACGGGGCAGCCAATGACGGTGCCGATGCTGATAACGCCAGCGACGATGACGGCGTCCTCGCGCCGGTGATGAAGGTTTTGGAAGGGGTTCGACATGCGCGCGCGGCAAGACGCGCGAGACTGGCCCGCATTGTTTTTTTGACGCGGATCGAGCCACCCCAGCACGCGCGCAAAGGGCATTCGAGCGAATTCGACAAGCGCGCGTGAGACCTGTTTGGTCGCAATTTCTGAACATGTTGAACATAACAACTTTTTTAATGTTATTATTATTTGTTGTTTTGTTGTTTTTCGTTTTTTTTGGTTTCTCTCTCTCTTATATATATATGGAGAATTCGAAACCCCGCGCATTTTTTCGTTTGGTTGGGAAATCCGTGTTGCGAAACATTTTTTGGGGTTTTTGTTCGGACAGTCGATTTTGAAATCTCTACGGAACCCACAATTTTTTAAGTATTTCGGCATGCGCGCGCGACGACGCGCGCGTGTGCACTTCGTCATATTTTGCAGAACGGGTTCTTGAACATATGAACAAATGCGCTCGCATAGTTTTTTTGCAGAGGATGGCGGGGGGGGCGATACCGGTTGGGCTGGGATGATATGAACTCATAACTAGGATGGACGATTGGGGCAGCATCGTATGTAAACTGCAATAAGAAAAAAATGGGCTGACAATCCCGGGGGGAGGGGGGGGGTAGAGTCTATTCTCTTGTCAGAAGGGAGACTTGATATTAACAAACGAATTGACACATCCCACGCTCTTGCAAACATCCCACCCACGCACCCGCAAATTGGTTTGTAAAAGCCCACGCGGTGGCGACTGCGATGCGCGCTTGGCTTTGGCTGGTGCATTTCTGCGGCCGCGCCAACCCAAACACGCGTGCGCAGCGGCCAGCTAATTTGGCGCGGCCGACGCGCCCGCGGTGGCGCTTACCGCTGGGCAAATCCCAGCGGGCACTTCACTGCGTGTCGGCGACTTGGGCGGGCGCGGTATCATGGCAACGTCGACAACGGTAGACACGATGATGAAAAATAGCGATGCCGGAAACAATGTTGGCAATGTTTAAGGCGCGGCAATTGCGGGCGCCGATGCTGATGACGCCGACGACGATGACGGCGTCCTCGCGTCGGTGCTGAAGGTTTTGGAAAGAGTTCGACATGCACGCGCGGCCGACGCGCGAAAGTGGCCCGCATGGTTTTATTTGACACGGATTGTGCCCCCCCAGCGCGTGCGCAAGGGCGTGCGAATGATGTCGGCATGCGGCGCGAGATGCCCGTTTGGGGGAAGTCCATCAACATGTTGAACCACCGATGGTTTTCTCAAGAACTCGCAAGAGCGCGAGCGCACGTCGTTTTGAAAACTGATGTTGCGAAACCATATGTTTGCGTACGTTTGTTGGACGATCGGTTGTGACATCGTTACGAAACCGACGGTTCGACGGCACGGGCGCAAGGGCGTTCGAACGATTTCGACATCGCGCGAAGCCAGTTTGTTATCATTCTCTGAAAATGTTGAGAAACCTATGGTGTCCGAAAGAATTCGCAAGAGCGCGCGCACAAGTTTTTTTTGAACCTCCTTGTTGCGAAACCCTGCGTTTTTATATGTTTTGGACACTCAATTTTGAAATCCTTCCAACACCCAAGGTTTTTGAAGGATTGTGGCATGCGCGCGCGACGACGCGCGCGTGTGTACTTCGTCATTTTGTGCACAGGATTCTTGACAACGGATGACTTTTAATAAGCGAATATGCGCGCATAGTTTTTATGCAGAGGATTGCAGGGGGGGCGATACCGGCCTCCCTGGGACGGTGTGCATTCATATTCAGGATGGACGATGGGGCAGAATCATATGTAAATTGCAATGCGAAAAAGGGAAGGTGATAATCCCCGGGGGTGGGTGGTAGAGTCTACTCTGATAAGAGAGAAGAATCTATGTGGCGCGCAATCTTTGCAGCGACGAACTGGCGACGGGGCGGCGACGGCGGCAACATAGCCGCCAGACCGGCAGACAGTTCCACACGGGCGGCGACAACGTGGCGACAGGGCGGCGACGGCCGCAACAAAGCCGCCAGAGCGGCACACCAGCCCAGACAATGGGCGGCGACAAGGCGGCAACGGCTGCAACATAGCCGCCAGAGCGGCACACCAGCCCAGACGACGGCTGCAACATAGCCGCCAGAGCGGCGCACCAGCCCAATTCCTTAGAACAGTAACAAGAACTCGTGATTGCAAGCACTATTTGGGTAATATTCCCATAACCATAATGGAAGAGTCTCCCCCGGATGGCCGTCCCCCCCCCCCGTAGCTCTTGGACGGTGCTCCCCAGCCCTGGGGCACAGAGGCCTTCAAGACGGCTCAAGAGGCACAAATCGTCAAATTCCTGTTGGGAAGCGTACCTTTTTAGCACATTCGCTTTTTCGGTCCTCACAGCGTCCAAGAAGATGCAAACGACGCCCCCAATATTGCCCCAAGGCGACCCAAGAGGTCTCTAAGAGGTCGCCAAGTTGGGCTCCAAGACGGCCCACGAGAGCCCCAAGACGGCGCAAAGCAGACCCCAGAGGATCCCAAAAAGGTCACAAGGGAGCCCCAAGAGGGCCATATGAGGCCCTCGAGGCAGCCTGAGAGGGGCCCAAAGAGAAACGTATGGGAGGTCTCGTGGCTACGTCCTGCACGGCGTTCCCAGAAAAAGGCTTCCAGAGGCCCCTGATTCACGGTCCATGCAGAGGCCCCACGGAAACACGCCGCGAGGCCCCGACGGGCACCCAAGACGCCCCGAGTTCACGACAAAGTCAGGGGTGTGCCGCCATGGCGGCACGACGGCCCCGGCGGCAAGACCACGACCTTCCACGGGGTCATGTCCGTGTCCCCGCTTCATTGGGCGGCCTCCGCTTTATCCCCCTTGTTCTGCGGCCCCAGAAGTCCCGATCCCCGACCGCCTCCCTGGGAATAGCTTCTCGGCCTGGATGCATTTCTGATGGCCCGACAACGGCCCCCAAAGGGTCGAACTCGAGGGAACACCGCCGCGATTGAACAACGTCAAATGAGCGACGATCAGAAGGGGGTCTGACGCAGCGACCTCACGCGGCGGCTGACGCGGGCCGCCGGCGCGGCAACCCACACTTGAGACGTCGAGGGCGCTCCCTGCGACCTTACGCGGGCAGCCTACGCGCCAATGTCGCCGCAGACGGCCTGGTTTTTTGGCGTCGCTCGGATCGTCGGAGATCTGGGCCCTCCGCGCAGCCCTCAGGCCACAGCCGGGTCGGCGGCGCATCGAGCAACGCCGCGGGCAGCGCCGGCGCAGCCGCGACAGGCAGTGGACCCCGGGCCAGCGCCGGCAGGCACCGCCTGCAGCCACGGCGGCAACTTCGGGTCGCCGCGGCCAGCTCTACATCGTGAAGGCAGCGGCTGGGTCTGCGTCGTCGTCGTCGTCGTCGTTGTCGTCGTCGTCGTCGTTGTCGTCGTCGTCGTCGTCGTCGTCGTCGTCGTCGTCGTCGTCCGTCGTCATCCTCCTCTTCGTCGTCGTCGTCGTCGTCGTCGTCGTCGTCGTCTTGGCAGCATCGGCAACTCGAAATCGGTCCCCAGACCTCTCCCGGGCTCCGAGCGCACCAGTTCTCCGAGCTGCGCCCAGCCGTGGCGACGAGGGCGCCCCTCGATGGCCGGTTGCCGCTGCCTCAGCTCGCCCTCCTTTTGACGCGACGGCAGCGCCTCCGAGGACGACGCCGAGGGCAGCGCGGCCGAGCCAGCCCTCAGGGCCACGCAGCGACGGCGGCGCAGCCGGAGAGCGCCGAGGGCAGCGCCGGCAGCCGCGCCAGGCCGTCCGCGCAGGCCTCTCGTACGCCCCGTCGCTCGCCGCCGGGCCTCGGGAGCCCCGGACTTCCTCAGGCCACTGACGTGTTCGCGGATGCTGTAGCGGTGTGGGATTGGGTCCGCGTCTGGAAAAGACAGCGCCCCGCGTCTCGCTCACTTCTCCTTCCACCTCCCCCTTCCGCCCTCCTCCCATCCTCGCCTCGGCCCTCCGCATGCCCATGTCGGCACACCGCTCACGCGGTTCGTGGCCCCATGGGGAGCTCCACCGAAGGTCCCGGTAGCACGGTTCGCATGCGTCTCCCCCGCCCATTTCGGCACACCCCTCACATGGTTCGTGGCCCCATGGGGAGTTCCACCGAAGGTCCCAGTGGCACAGTTCGGATGCGTCTCCCAAGCCCGTTTCGGCACAGACCTCACACGGTTCGTGGCTTCATAGGAAGCTCCATCGTTCGCATGCGTCGCCCCCGGGCACATCCCTCACACGATTCGTGGCTTCATAGGGAGCTCCACCCAAGGCCCTAATGCCACCATTCGCACGCATCTCCCCCGCCCATTACGGCACACCCATCACACGGTTCGCTGATCCATACGGAGCTCCACTCAAGGTCCCAGCGCCGCTGTTTCGCATGCGTCTACCTCGCCCATTACAGCACACCCCTCATACGGTTCGTGGCCCCATAGGGAGCTCCACCGAATGTCCCGGTGGCACAGTTTGCATGCGTCCGGCCCCGCCTTTCGGCTCACCCTTCGCACGTTACGTGGCCCCACAGGGAGCTCCACCGAAGGTCCCATTGGTACAGTTCGCATGCGTCTCCCCCGCCCATGTCGACGCACCCCTCACACAGTTCGTGGCCCCATAGTGAGCTCCACCAAAGGTCCCAGTGACACAGTTCGTATGCGTCTCCCCCACCCATTTCGGCACACCCCTTATACGTTTCATGGCCTCCTGCGGAGCTCCATCGAAAGCGATACCTACAATGCGGTACCCACAACTGCATATGGTTGGGCCCTTTGCCAAGATAATTCGTGGTTTGCTTCCTTGCCTTTCCAGTATTTCGTGCTGGGCACTTTCCCAACCACCCTGTGTTGTTAAGTCCTCGTTTTGAAGAGACAACTCGCATGTGGGCGCCACGCCTGTTGCGGCACACCCCTCACACGGTGCGTGGACCCATGAGGAACTCCATTTGAGGTCCCAATGGCGACGTTCGCATGTGGGCGTTACTCCCGTTGCGGCACACCCCTCACACGGCTCGTGGCCCTCTAGAGAGCTCCACCTAAGGCCCCAGCGGGCATGCGGTTCCTCACTTATTTTCGGTACACCCAGACACATCACACGCTTCGTGGCCCCATAGGGAGCTCCACCGAAGGCCCCAGTGGACCCACAGGGGGCTGCACCCAAAATGATACTCACAACTGCGGTATTCACAATTGCATATGGTTTGGCCCGTCGCCAGGATCATTTGTTTTTGACGTTGTGTTGGCTTCGTGACATTTTTTCGCCGATTTCGGCGTCTGGGGGCTGCTTTCGGGCCCAGGGGGCACCGAGCCGGCCAGCTGCCTCTGGGGAAGGGGTCGATCGGGATCCTCGCCGAAGGCCGACCCCCCCTCCCTGGATGAGGGGAACATCAAGAAGGGACCAGCTCAGGGGGGAAACATCGAGCTTGAGAGGTACTTCGCCGATGAAACGGCGAGGGGCCCCCGATAGCGAAACCGCGCGTTCCTGGGCGGGGTGGTCTATCGGGCCCCTATCGGCGATCAATGAGCGATCGGGGTCAATGCATCCCCTCCTGAGCCTATCGCCCCTACCGTTGCACCTGACTGGAGACGCTCCCTCTCCTCCTGGATCTGGCCCGGCCGCGTCTGGCCTGGTGATCTCTTAGAGGCCTCTCAAGTGGGGTCCAAGTAGATGCCGTCGGAGGGTCGCGCCGCATCGCCGATGCACCAGCGATGCACCTGCGATGCATCGGCGACGTCGGTGTGAAGAAAGCTGGGCTCCACATTGAACCGCCTCGCCGAGGCCTCGGCGATGCGACTCGACCCTTCGACCCCGTCTGCTCGGACCCCCATCTGGGAGGCCCAGCTCCCCGGGGCGGCAAGGAGACGACGCCCGCGTCATGGCCCGGGCCACCCGCCCGCGCAAGCAAGCTGGCGCCGTGCGAGGCGCGGCCGCAGAAGCGGCCCCTTTGGCCTCCCAGCGAGGAGTTCGCCACGGGCAGTGCTTTGCCGAGCCCTCGGAGGCCGATGCTGCGGGCTCCTGGGCTGCCAGGAAGCGGCTCCCCGGGCCTCCAGGGTATTGAGACAATCAGGACGGATTCGTTTCGCCTGGTTCTGCCTCTGAGGGCCCTTGTCGGGCCCCAGGACCATCAACATGACGAAGAAGCTGGTCCCGGGGGAGGGGTCGAGACACTCTCAGGGACGCCGACATGAACAAATCCAGAC